GAGGCGCTGTCGCTCATTTCTTATTCAGTCTTCCTGAGGAGGAAACAGGAAGTCATAATGTAGGAACAAAAGAAAGAAGATACAGTGTAAGCAGATAAATCAAAATGTATTTAAATGAAGTTCTTATTTCTAAATATTTTCTGTTTCCTTGTTTGAAAGAGAAAAACAAACATTTCTAAAAGTCACCGATAGAAACAGGAAACCTGAAAGAGAAAATAACATTTCATCTGGTTTTTATTCTGTTGATAAAGAAACAGATCAAACACAGACGGTATGTTTAGGGGGGGAAGTGAAACTGAAATGATCCTTCACAATAAAACTTTGAAAGAAATCTGTTTCCTTGAATTTAGAATTAAAGATGTTAGGGTAGGGTTAGATTAGATTAGATTTTTGTTTGATTGGAAAGCTGCAGAGACAGAAACGCTGGGAGGAGAGAGCGAGCGAGAGAGCGAGCGAGAGAGCGAGAGAGCGAGCGAGAGAGCGAGCGACGGACGCTCTGCAGCAACGTGCCAAGTACGGATTCAAACCCACGACCGCTGCAACAAGGACTAAAGCCGTACAAACCGCTGGACCACACGTCTGATTTATATCTTTAAATAAAAAAACAGCTCTGCAGGTTAAAGGGGACCTAAAGCTGCTGACCATGCTAACGCTGCTGACCCTGCTAACGCTGCTGACCCTGCTAACCCTGCTGACCCTGCTAACGCTGCTGACCCTGCTAACGCTGCTGACCCTGCTAACGCTGCTGACCCTGCTAACGCTGCTGACCATGCTAAAGCTGCTGACCATGCTAACGCTGCTGACCCTGCTAACGCTGCTGACCCTGCTAACGCTGCTGACCCTGCTAACGCTGCTGACCCTGCTAACGCTGCTGACCCTGCTAAAGCTGCTGACCCTGCTAACGCTGCTGACCCTGCTAACGCTGCTGACCATGCTAAAGCTGCTGACCATGCTAACGCTGCTGACCCTGCTAACGCTGCTGACCCTGCTAACGCTGCTGACCCTGCTAACCCTGCTGACCCTGCTAACGCTGCTGACCGTGCTAAAGCTGCTGACCGTGCTAACGCTGCTGACCCTGCTAACGCTGCTGACCCTGCTAACGCTGCTGACCCTGCTAACGCTGCTGACCCTGCTAACGCTGCTGACCATGCTAAAGCTGCTGACCATGCTAACGCTGCTGACCCTGCTAACGCTGCTGACCCTGCTAACCCTGCTGACCCTGCTAACGCTGCTGACCGTGCTAAAGCTGCTGACCGTGCTAACGCTGCTGACCCTGCTAACGCTGCTGACCCTGCTAACGCTGCTGACCATGCTAAAGCTGCTGACCATGCTAACGCTGCTGACCCTGCTAACGCTGCTGACCCTGCTAACGCTGCTGACCCTGCTAACGCTGCTGACCCTGCTAACGCTGCTGACCCTGCTAACCCTGCTGACCCTGCTAACGCTGCTGACCCTGCTAAAGCTGCTGACCCTGCTAACGCTGCTGACCGTGCTAAAGCTGCTGACCGTGCTAACGCTGCTGACCCTGCTAACGCTGCTGACCCTGCTAACGCTGCTGACCATGCTAAAGCTGCTGACCATGCTAACGCTGCTGACCCTGCTAACGCTGCTGACCCTGCTAACCCTGCTGACCCTGCTAACGCTGCTGACCCTGCTAACGCTGCTGACCCTGCTAACGCTGCTGACCCTGCTAACGCTGCTGACCATGCTAAAGCTGCTGACCATGCTAACGCTGCTGACCCTGCTAACGCTGCTGACCCTGCTAACGCTGCTGACCCTGCTAACGCTGCTGACCCTGCTAACGCTGCTGACCCTGCTAAAGCTGCTGACCCTGCTAACGCTGCTGACCCTGCTAACGCTGCTGACCCTGCTAAAGCTGCTGACCATGCTAACGCTGCTGACCCTGCTAACGCTGCTGACCCTGCTAACGCTGCTGACCCTGCTAACCCTGCTGACCCTGCTAACGCTGCTGACCGTGCTAAAGCTGCTGACCGTGCTAACGCTGCTGACCCTGCTAACGCTGCTGACCCTGCTAACGCTGCTGACCCTGCTAACGCTGCTGACCCTGCTAACGCTGCTGACCATGCTAAAGCTGCTGACCATGCTAACGCTGCTGACCCTGCTAACGCTGCTGACCCTGCTAACCCTGCTGACCCTGCTAACGCTGCTGACCGTGCTAAAGCTGCTGACCGTGCTAACGCTGCTGACCCTGCTAACGCTGCTGACCCTGCTAACGCTGCTGACCATGCTAAAGCTGCTGACCATGCTAACGCTGCTGACCCTGCTAACGCTGCTGACCCTGCTAACGCTGCTGACCCTGCTAACGCTGCTGACCCTGCTAACGCTGCTGACCCTGCTAACCCTGCTGACCCTGCTAACGCTGCTGACCCTGCTAAAGCTGCTGACCCTGCTAACGCTGCTGACCGTGCTAAAGCTGCTGACCGTGCTAACGCTGCTGACCCTGCTAACGCTGCTGACCCTGCTAACGCTGCTGACCATGCTAAAGCTGCTGACCATGCTAACGCTGCTGACCCTGCTAAGGCTGCTGACCCTGCTAACGCTGCTGACCCTGCTAACGCTGCTGACCCTGCTAAAGCTGCTGACCCTGCTAACGCTGCTGACCCTGCTAACGCTGCTGACCATGCTAACGCTGCTGACCCTGCTAAAGCTGCTGACCCTGCTAACGCTGCTAACGCTGCTGACCCTGCTAACGCTGCTAACGCTGCTGACCCTGCTAATGCTGCTGACCATGCTAACGCTGCTGACCTTGCTGACCATGCTAACGCTGCTGACCCTGCTAACACTGCTGACCCTGCTAAAGCTGCTGACCATGCTAACACTGCTGACCCTGCTAAAGCTGCTGACCATGCTAACGCTGCTGACCATGCTAACACTGCTGACCCTGCTAACGCTGCTGACCATGCTAACGCTGCTGACCCTGCTAACACTGCTGACCCTGCTAAAGCTGCTGACCATGCTAACACTGCTGACCCTGCTAAAGCTGCTGACCATGCTAACGCTGCTAACGCTGCTGACCATGCTAAAGCTGCTGACCATGCTAACACTGCTGACCATGCTAACGCTGCTAAAGCTGCTGACCATGCTAACGCTGCTAACGCTGCTGACCATGCTAACGCTGCTGACCCTGCTAACGCTGCTGACCATGCTAACGCTGCTAACGCTGCTGACCATGCTAACGCTGCTAACGCTGCTGACCCTGCTAACCCTGCTAACGCTGCTGACCCTGCTAAGGCTGCTGACCATGCTAACGCTGCTAACGCTGCTGACCCTGCTAACCCTGCTAACGCTGCTAACCCTGCTAACGCTGCTGACCATGCTAACGCTGCTAACGCTGCTGACCATGCTAACGCTGCTAACGCTGCTGACCCTGCTAACCCTGCTAACGCTGCTGACCCTGCTAAGGCTGCTGACCATGCTAACGCTGCTAACGCTGCTGACCCTGCTAACCCTGCTAACGCTGCTAACCCTGCTAAGGCTGCTGACCATGCTAACGCTGCTAACGCTGCTGACCCTGCTAACCCTGCTAACGCTGCTAACCCTGCTAACGCTGCTGACCCTGCTAATGCTGCTGACCATGCTAACGCTGCTGACCTTGCTGACCATGCTAACACTGCTGACCCTGCTAACGCTGCTGACCATGCTAACGCTGCTGACCATGCTAACACTGCTGACCCTGCTAAAGCTGCTGACCATGCTAACACTGCTGACCCTGCTAAAGCTGCTGACCATGCTAACGCTGCTAACGCTGCTGACCATGCTAAAGCTGCTGACCATGCTAACACTGCTGACCCTGCTAAAGCTGCTGACCATGCTAACGCTGCTAACGCTGCTGACCATGCTAACGCTGCTAACGCTGCTGACCCTGCTAACCCTGCTAACGCTGCTGACCCTGCTAACGCTGCTGACCATGCTAACGCTGCTAACGCTGCTGACCCTGCTAACCCTGCTAACGCTGCTAACCCTGCTAACGCTGCTGACCATGCTAACGCTGCTAACGCTGCTGACCATGCTAACGCTGCTAACGCTGCTGACCCTGCTAACCTGCTAACGCTGCTGACCCTGCTAAGGCTGCTGACCATGCTAACGCTGCTAACGCTGCTGACCCTGCTAACCCTGCTAACGCTGCTGACCCTGCTAAGGCTGCTGACCATGCTAACGCTGCTAACGCTGCTGACCCTGCTAACCCTGCTAACGCTGCTGACCCTGCTAAGGCTGCTGACCATGCTAACGCTGCTAACGCTGCTGACCCTGCTAACCCTGCTAACGCTGCTAACCCTGCTGACCCTGCTGACCCTGCTAACCCTGCTAACGCTGCTGACCCTGCTAACGCTGCTGACCCTGCTAACGCTGCTGACCATGCTAACGCTGCTGACCCTGCTAACGCTGCTGACCATGCTAACGCTGCTGACCATGCTAACGCTGCTGACCCTGCTAAGGCTGCTGACCATGCTAACGCTGCTAACGCTGCTGACCCTGCTAACCCTGCTAACGCTGCTGACCCTGCTAAGGCTGCTGACCATGCTAACGCTGCTAACGCTGCTGACCCTGCTAACCCTGCTAACGCTGCTGACCCTGCTAACGCTGCTGACCATGCTAACGCTGCTGACCCTGCTAACGCTGCTGACCCTGCTAACGCTGCTGACCATGCTAACGCTGCCATTTGTAGCTTAAAATGTGGGTGTTAAATAAAAAGCTGAACAGCCAATGAGCATTGTTTGTTTTTGAGACAGCCTCCAGTGGACACTCGAAGAACTGCAGTTTTTATTTAAAATTTCATTTTCAACATTTTCTAAACTTCATTCAGTGTTTCTCTTATGAAAACAAAATATAAATAAATATAAATATACTGGGTTAGGGTTACAAACCATAGACTGACAATAATAACGTGATTATATCTGTTATTTCTTTATTTTAACAAGACGATGGCTCATTTTTGTGTGAAATTCTACCGGAAGTTCCGGTGGCGTCGGGCTGCAGCAGGCTTGACGAATGTTGCGTCACTGCGTCTTTAAAGTCGAGCAGATCCAGGCCACTAACAAGATGGAGCATTTCAGAGCCTAAACAGTGGACCAAAACCAGGACCTAAGACCCGGACTAAACCCGGGACCTAACCCAGAACCTAACCCAGACTAAACCCGGACTCAACCCGGGACCTAACCCTCAGTGGAACCTGGAAAGTCCCGGGACGGGGACCGGATTATTGTCCGATTGTCGGGACATCCAGACGGGCGTAAAGACGCGTCAGTAACCGGGTAGGTCTCCTCCTGCTCAGGCTCGGTTCTTGGTCTGTCCGGGTCCTTCCGGTCCTGTTCAGTCGGTTCTAGTGGCCGTTAGTCGCCTGAGTGTCCCGGTGTTCCGGTGTTGGATCCCCGTTGGATTGTGGGCCCGTCGCAGGCCGGTTTGTTGTCATGAGGAGGGAGCGGCTCTTCTTCATGATGACACTTTGTGTCGTAAACATCTTCAATGTTTTTAACGTCTGTTTGTGCTTCATTACCGTAATGTCGTAAAAACGCTAGTTTACGTCTTCGGTGGTGAATTTACGGTAATAAGTTAAATGTAGTTTATTTATTCTTCTGTAGTCTAAATGATTACAGGTTATTATTTATTATTATGTTATAATATAATATTTTATATTTATTTATTTATTATAAACAAACTGAGAAATATGAAACAAGATTCAGCTGCCTGCAGGTTATTATCATCTATGACGTAATGTGACCTCACAGTGACGTCAGAGTATTTAATTCAAAAGGTGTGTGCGTGTGTGAGACATCATAGCAGTGTGACTCAGTCCACCGCGCTAATAAATTAAACAAAGAAGAAGAACGCGACAGAGTGGAGGACATCCAGGAAGTCGTGGAGGCGGAATGCGGCATCCTTTATAACCGCTGTCGCACAGGAAGTGACGATCATTTCCACCAATCAACGGACTGCAGGTTTAGCTCCACCTTTTAGGGTCAAATCAGTAGACTTGGCGCCCCAACAGACGGGTAGCAGGAAGTAGGATGCTACGGGACGCTAGTTTGGAGATCGTAACCGAATTTTGATCTTAACGTGACGAACTGAACTGAACTGAACTGACTGATCTGAACTAACTGATCTCAACTGAACTAACTGATCTCAACTGAACTAACTGATCTCAACTGAACTAACTGATCTGATCTGAACTAACTGATCTGAACTGATCTGAACTGAACTAACTGATCTGAACTAACTGATCTGAACTAACTGATCTGATCTGAACTAACTGATCTGAACTGATCTGATCTGAACTAACTGATCTGAACTAACTGATCTGAACTAACTGATCTCAACTGAACTAACTGATCTCAACTGAACTAACTGATCTCAACTGAACTAACTGATCTCAACTGAACTAACTGATCTGATCTGAACTAACTGATCTGAACTGATCTGATCTGAACTAACTGATCTGAACTGATCTGAACTGAACTAACTGATCTGAACTGATCTGATCTGAACTAACTGATCTGAACTAACTGATCTGAACTAACTGATCTCAACTGAACTAACTGATCTCAACTGAACTAACTGATCTCAACTGAACTAACTGATCTGATCTGAACTAACTGATCTCAACTGATCTGAACTGAACTAACTGATCTGAACTAACTGATCTGAACTAACTGATCTGATCTGAACTAACTGATCTGAACTGATCTGATCTGAACTAACTGATCTGAACTAACTGATCTGAACTAACTGATCTGAACTGATCTGAACTAACTGATCTGAACTGAACTAACTGATCTGAACTGAACTAACTGATCTGAACTAACTGATCTGATCTGAACTAACTGATCTGAACTAACTGATCTGAACTGATCTGAACTGAACTAACTGATCTGAACTAACTGATCTGAACTAACTGATCTGAACTGAACTAACTGATCTGAACTGATCTGATCTGAACTAACTGATCTGAACTGATCTGATCTGAACTAACTGAACTGAACTAACTGATCTGAACTGATCTGAACTGAACTAACTGATCTGAACTGAACTAACTGATCTGAACTGATCTGATCTGAACTAACTGATCTGAACTATCTGATCTGAACTAACTGATCTGAACTGATCTGAACTGAACTAACTGATCTGAACTAACTGATCTGAACTAACTGATCTGATCTGAACTAACTGATCTGAACTGATCTGATCTGAACTAACTGATCTGAACTAACTGATCTGAACTGATCTGAACTAACTGATCTGAACTGAACTAACTGATCTGAACTGAACTAACTGATCTGAACTAACTGATCTGAACTAACTGATCTGATCTGAACTAACTGATCTGAACTAACTGATCTGAACTGATCTGAACTGAACTAACTGATCTGAACTAACTGATCTGAACTAACTGATCTGAACTGAACTAACTGATCTGAACTGATCTGATCTGAACTAACTGATCTGAACTGATCTGATCTGAACTAACTGAACTGAACTAACTGATCTGAACTAACTGATCTGAACTAACTGATCTGAACTGAACTAACTGATCTGAACTGATCTGATCTGAACTAACTGATCTGAACTGATCTGATCTGAACTAACTGAACTGAACTAACTGATCTGAACTGATCTGAACTGAACTAACTGATCTGAACTGATCTGATCTGAACTAACTGATCTGAACTGAACTAACTGATCTGATCTGAACTAACTGATCTGAACTAACTGATCTGAACTGAACTAACTGATCTGAACTAACTGATCTGAACTAACTGATCTCAACTAACTGATCTCAACTGAACTGATCTGATCTGAACTGATCTGATCTGAACTGATCTGAACTGAACTAACTGATCTGAACTGATCTGATCTGAACTAACTGATCTGAACTGATCTGATCTGAACTAACTGAACTGAACTAACTGATCTCAACTGATCTGAACTGAACTAACTGATCTGAACTGAACTAACTGATCTCAACTGATCTGATCTGAACTGAACTAACTGATCTGAACTGATCTGATCTGAACTAACTGATCTGAACTGAACTAACTGATCTGATCTGAACTAACTGATCTGATCTGAACTAACTGATCTGATCTGAACTGAACTGATCTGAACTGATCTGATCTGAACTGATCTGATCTGATCTGAACTAACTGATCTGAACTAACTGATCTGAACGAACTGAACTAACTGATCTGAACTGAACTAACTGATCTGAACTAACTGATCTGAACTGATCTGAACTAACTGATCTGAACTGAACTGATCTGAACTGATCTAACTGATCTGATCTGAACTAACTGATCTGAACTGAACTAACTGATCTGAACTAACTGATCTGATCTGAACTAACTGATCTGAACTGAACTGATCTGAACTAATTGATCTGAACTGAACTGAACTGAACTGAACTTAACTGATCTGAACTGAACTGAACTTAACTGATCTGAACTAATTGATCTGAACTTAACTTAACTTAACTGATCTGAACTAACTGATCTGAACTGAACTGATCTGAACTGAACTGAACTGATCTGAACTAATTGATCTGAACTGAACTGAACTGATCTGAACTGAACTGAACTAACTGATCTGAACTAACTGAACTGATCTGAACTGAACTAACTGAACTGAACTGAACTGAACTAACTGATCTGAACTAACTGATCTGAACTGAACTGAACTGAACTGAGCTGAACTGATCTGAACTGAACTGAATTGAACTGATCTGAACTAATTGATCTGAACTTAACTTAACTTAACTGATCTGAACTAACTGATCTGAACTGAACTGAACTGATCTGAACTGAACTGAACTGATCTGAACTGATCTAACTGATCTGATCTGAACTAACTGATCTGAACTGAACTAACTGATCTGAACTAACTGATCTGAACTAACTGATCTGATCTGATCTGAACTAACTGATCTGAACTGAACTGATCTGAACTAATTGATCTGAACTGAACTGAACTGAACTGATCTGAACTGAACTGAACTGAACTGATCTGAACTAATTGATCTGAACTTAACTTAACTTAACTGATCTGAACTAACTGATCTGATCATGTAGCAATGCTAACAGGCAGCTATGCTAACAGGTAGGTCTAGTCCAGTTAGTCTATTCGTTAGTCAATCAATCAATCAATTTTTATTTGTATAGCGTCAACTCATAACAAGTGTTATCTTGAGACACTTCACAAAAAGCAGGTAAAATACCTTTCTCATTGTGTGTTAACATTACAAAAGAGCAGGTAAAAAGACCTTACTCATTGTTATGTTACAAAAAGCAGGTAAAGGACCTTACTTATTGCTATGTTACAAAGATCCGGCCTATCCATCATGAGCACTTTTAGCAAAGCAGCAAAAGTTACAGTGGTAAGAAAAAACTGCCTTATTAAAAGACAGAAATCTGAAATCCGTCATGAGCCGGATCCCCGGCTAGCCTTCATGGGCCTAGACTGCGCCAGGTTTGGAAAGGGATAGGGGGAGAGATGGGATAAGATGCAGGAAGAGGGATAGGGAGCAAGGGGGTGGGGGGAGGCAAACCGTCCATCAACAATCCGGTGGGGAGGGGGGCTGTTCTGGCAGGCCGTCAACCAACGATCCGGTGGGGAGGGGGTGGGGGTTGTTCTGGCAGGCCGTCAACCAACGATCTCGAGGAGCCTAAGAGAGCTCAAGAGCTCCCAGGAAAGTAGGTGGTTAGAGACTGAGATTTACAGATAGATACATGCAGTAATATGATGTACTGTATATGCACATAGAGAGAGAGAGAGAGGAGCTCAAGGTGCCAGTTCCCCGGTAGTCTAAGCCTATAGCAGCATAACTAAGAGCTGGTCCCTAGATTTATCAAAAAGGAAAGTTTTAAGTCTATTCTTGAAAATACAGACTGTGTCTGCCTCCCGGCCCCCGGCTGGAAGATGATTCCAGAGGAGAGGAGCCCGATAACTGAAGGCTTTACCTCCCATAGTATAGACTGTAGGTACCTGCATTCTGGGACCGTAATATTCTCGAGGGACAGTACGGCACTAGTAGCTCCTTAAGATAAGATGGTGCCTGGCCATTTAGAGCCTTGTAAGTGAGAACAAGGATCTTGACTGTATAGGGAGCCAGTGCAGAGAAGCCAACACAGGAGTAATGTGGTCCCTTTTCCGAGTTCTAGTCAGTACACGAGCTGCAGCGTTCTGGACTAGTTGAAGAGTCTTTAGAGACTTACCAGAGCACCCTGACAAAAGAGAATTACAATAATCCAGTCTGGAGGTAACAAATGCATGAACTAGTTTTTCTGCATCATTTTGCGACAGGATATTCCTGATCTTGGATATATTACGAAGGTGAAAATAGGCTGTTCTGACTATGTTAGTCTAGTCCAGTTAGTCTAGTCCAGTCAGTCTAGGCCAGTCAGTCTAGTTCAGTCAGTCTAGTCCAGTCAGTCTAGTCCAGTTAGTCTAGTCCAGTCAGTCTAGTCCAGTTAGTCTAGTCAAGTCAGTCAGTCTAGTCCAGTTAGTCTAGTCTTGTCCAGTTAGTCTAGTCTAGTCCAGTTAGTCTAGTCTAGTCCAGTTAGTCTAGTCCTGTCAGTCTAGTCCAGTCAGTCTAGTCCAGTTAGTCTAGTCTAGTCCAGTTAGTCTTGTCCAGTTAGTCTAGTCCAGTTAGTCTAGTCCAGTTAGTCTAGTCCAGTTAGTCTTGTCCAGTTAGTCTAGTCTAGTCCAGTTAGTCTTGTCCAGTTAGTCTAGTCCAGTTAGTCTAGTCCAGTTTGGTCCAGCTGCATCATGTTTTCAGTTCTCCTGAACTATTCTTTGAAAAGCAGCTGATCATCAGTGTGGAGGGGTCATTTGAGGTTAATGGTCAGACAGAAACGTGGAGGAGGATGAAAACACAGGCAGACTCTGCAGAGATGATGAAGATGAAGATCAGCTTCATCATTGATGACACAGAGACATCCAGATGTTTCCTGCATCCTCTCAGTGTGTTGGCGTCTTTAATTACAAAGATTCTAACCAGAAACACGTTGAAGAGATCATGAACTCTCAAACAGACGGTCTTCAGGTCAGCACTCGATCAGTGTGGATGAAGATATCCTCTGTTCTGTGTTCAGCTGTGATGGTGACGAGGACATTACATAACACACACACACACACACACATTCTTTGCATGTTTGCTTGTTAACAGTTTCCTGACCAGCAGAGGATTTATTGTTGGTTAAAAACAACAAATCTGACTTTAGAAGAAAAGCGAGGCAGTGTGTGCGTGTGCAAAGTTTACGTATTCAGGTGTAATGACCATCATTTCTTTCTTTGTCTTTTTCTTTAGGTCTGCACTTCAAAAATGGCCGACGCAGAGGTCTCCCTGTCCCCGGCTCTGATACCCCTTGATCTAAGCCCCTCCCACTCTGCCCTGCCCCCTCCACCAACCTCCTCTTCCTCACCCACCACATTCTCCTGCCCTTCTTCCCCCTCAAGCGCCTCCTCTTCTTCCTCTTCTTCTTCCTCTTCTTCTTGTTCTGAGAGCTCCTCTGACTGCCAGCCCACCACCATCATCATCATCATCATCATCACCACCCTCGCCCCCAACTGCAGCGCCGCCGCCCCAGAGCGAGCTGCCATCCTCCCCAAGCGCCAGCCCCCGCAGCTCCAGTCCGAGTGGTAGCATCGGCAGTACTGGCAGCCTCGGGAGCAGCAGCAGCGCCAGCGAGGGCATCGGCAGTGGCATTTCAAGCGGAGGCGACCCGAGAGGCCCCAGCCCCCCGCTGGACGTCATCTCAGAGGACGCCATGGAGATGGACCTCGGGGCTGACCAAGGTAACCGGAACAAGACTCACTGAAAGATACTATTGAGATGAAAACCAGAGTCATACACTCCCCCTATCCCTCTTCCTTCATCTTATCCCATCTCCCCCATCCCTCTTTCTGCATCTTATCACATCTCTCCCCCTATCCGTCAACCAACGATCTTGAGGAGCCTAAGAGAGCTCAAGAGCTCCCAGGAAAGTAGGTGGTTAGTGACTGAGATTTACAGATAGATACATGCAGTAATATGATGTACTGTATATGCACATAGAGAGAGAGAGGAGCTCAAGGTGCCAGTTCCCCCAGTAGTCTAAGCCTATAGCAGCATAACTAAGAGCTGGTCTACACCAGCACCAGCCCTAATTATAAGATTTATCAAAAAGGAAAGTTTTAAGTCTATTCTTAAAAATACAGACTGTGTCTGCCTCCCGGACCCCGGCTGGAAGATGAGTCCAGAGGAGAGGAGCCCGATAACTGAAGGCTTTACCTCCCATAGTACACTTAGAGACTGTAGGTACCTGCATTCTGGGACCGTAATGTTCTCGAGGGGCAGTACGGCACTAGTAGCTCCTTAAGATAAGATGGTGCCTGGCCATTTAGAGCCTTGTAAGTGAGAACAAGGATCTTGACTGTATAGGGAGCCAGTGCAGAGAAGCCAACACAGGAGTAATGTGGTCCCTTTTCCTAGTTCTGGTCAGTACACGAGCTGCAGCGTTCTGGACCAGTTGAAGAGTCTTTAGAGACTTACCAGAGCACCCTGACAAAAGAGAATTACAATAATCCAATCTGGAGGTAACAAATGCATGAACTAGTTTTTCTGCATCATTTTGCGACAGGATATTCCTGATCTTAAATATATTACGAAGGTGAAAATAGGCTGTTCTTGAAATTTGTCTGATATGAGAGCTAAAGGATATATCTTGATCAAATAGAACTCCTAGATTCCTAACAGTGGTGCTAGATGCCAGACTGATGTCATTAAGGACAGTCACATCACTAGAAAAAGTCTCTCTGAGGTTTTTAGGGCCTAGCACAATAACTTCAGTCTTGTCTGAGTTAAGTAGCAAAACATTTCTGGTCATCCAGGTCCTAACGTCTTTAAGGCACGTTTCTAGCTTACATAACTGACTGGTGCCATCGGGCTTCATTGATACATAAAGCTGAGTATCATCTGCATAACAATGAAACTGTATGGCATGTTTCCTCATAATATTTCCCAGAGGAAGCATATATAATGTAAAGAGAATTGGTCCAAGCACTGAACCTTGTGGCACTCCATGGCTAATTTTGGTGTGCATAGAGGACTTATCATTAACATGTACAAACTGAGATCGGTCTGATAAGCAGGATTCAAACCAACTTAAAGCAGTCCCTGTAATTCCAAGTAAATGTTGTAGTCTGTATAATAGGATCTGATGGTCAGTAGTGTCAAAAGCAGCACTAAGATCTAACAAGACGAGCACAGAGAGAAGTCCCCTGAAGTAGATCGTTTGTAACTTTAACTAGTGCAGTCTCAGTGCTATGGTGGACTCTAAATCCTGACTGAAACTTCTCAAATAAACTGTTGTCATGGAGAAAGTCACACAGCTGATTAGCTACCACTTTCTCCAGGATCTTTGAGATAAAAGGAAGGTTGGATATAGGCCTACAGTTAGCTAGAGTTCCTGAATCTAGAGTAGGTTTTTTGAGTAGAGGTTTGATTACCGCTACTTTAAATGACTGTGGTACATAGCCAGCCAGTAAAGACATATTGATCAGATCTAATATGGAGTTGCTAACTAAGGGAAAGACTTCCTTAAACAGCTTGGTTGGGATTGGGTCTAAAAGACGGTTGACGGTTTCGACGCAGAAATAATTGAATTTAGCTCTGAAAGGTCAATTGGAGCAAGGTCTTCTACCTGCTTTTTGTAACATAACAATAAGGAAGGTATTTTACCTGCTTTTTGTAAAGTAACAATAAGTAAGGCCTTTTACCTGCTTTTTGTATCATAACAATAAGTATGGTCTTTTACCTGCTTTTTGTATCATAACAATGAGTAAGGTCTTTTACTGTGCCTCAAGATAGCACTTGTTATGAGTTGACGCTATACAAATAAGAATTGGTTGAAATTGATTGATACACTTTTATTCGTCCTGGTCATTTAAAGTGCCTTCCAAAGTCCTCTGGTTACAATCAATCTGACCTCTCTGTTTCTTCCTTCAGTGATCGACCCGGAAGTCGCTCTGAAGGCTTGTCAGGAAGTCCTTCTCAAGGTCAAGCTGCAGAACAGGGAAGCGCCTGAAGAGCAACAATCGAACGACAAACAACCAGGCGATCAGCCGCAACAACAGAACTGTGAGTGTTCCAGTCCACAGTGGCTGCTCAGCCCAGACACCAGCTCGATCAAAGAGGAAGAAGAGGAGGAGGAGGAGACTGGGAAGGATGCAGAAAAGCAAAGCTTGACTCGCTCAGAGTCGACTCTGCTTCCGACAGCAGCTTCATCGTCTTCATCTAAACAGTCATGGCTGCTGCGCCTGTTTGAGTCCAAGCTGTTCGACGTCTCCATGGCGATCTCTTACCTCTACAAGTCAAAGGAGCCAGGTGTCCAGGCGTACATCGGGAATCGTCTCTTCAGCTTCCCTGACAACGAGGTGGACTTCTATCTGCCACAGCTGCTCAACATGTATGTGCACATGGACACTGAGGTGGGAGACGCCATCAGACCTTACCTAGTGAGTCCTCAGACACCTGCTTACTATTGTTTTTTATTAATAATAATATTTAACAATGTAATTAAACTATGTTTATCAACTCTTGGGCACCACCCTGAAATCAGGAAAACATAACCAAAAATCAGTCTGAAATTAGTTACTTAATTACTAATATTATCAATAATTAATAAATATATGTAATGAAGGCGTGAGATCCGTACACAGAGCCCTCACACCCAGCGTGCGTGCGTGCGTGCGTGCAAGATGGTGGAGAGAGACAATGCACCATGTGGTTTAGTCACACTTCAAAGACTGAGAAGCTGGAGCGCTGACAGGTTTCATACCTGTTTCAATACCATGGCAACAGAAACAGAAGTCCTTGACAGCCGATGAAATGGCTCAATTCTTGTCTTTCATGACATTTTCATTCGACCGTGTTATCACCGACCTGTGAATGTACGCGAACCACCACAGCCTTTGTTAGGACAGAGAGAGAGAGAGGGAATGCGGGAAAGGAGCCACATGTCGGTTTTGAACCTCAGCCGCACACTTCGGTGACAACAGCCTCTGTACATGGAAAGTGCAAACTAACCACTAGGCCACCGGAGCCCCCTCTCTCTGTCTTTTGACACAACTTTGGATGGGTGAATATCTTAGTCATTGGAACATGGAGATCAGTGAATATCCAGAGTTGTTTTAAGACAGTCTCTGCCTCCCTGGTTCTGGAGGGAGGGTCCAGTGGAGGGAGGTCCAGTGGAGGTCCGTTAGGGGGTCCAGTGAGGGAGGGTCCAGTGGAGGGAGGTTCCAGTGGAGGAGGGTCCAGTGGAGGGAGGTCCAGTGGAGGAGGTCCAGTGAAGGAGGTCCAGTGGAGGTCCGTTAGGGGGTCCAGCGGAGGGAGGTCCAGTGGAGGTCCGTTAGGGGGTCCAGTGGAGGGAGGGTCCAGTGGGGAGGTCCATTGAGGGAGGGTCCAGTGGAGGAGGGTCCAATGGAGGAGTCCAGTGGAGGGAGGGTCCAGCGGAGAGGGTCCAGTGGAGGGAGGTCAGTGGAGGGAGGGTCCAGTGGAGGTCCGTTAGTGGGGTCTGGAAATGTTTACCACCTGGTTCTGCTCGATCCTGTATTCTAACTTGTTATTGTCTTTGTCAGATCCATCGCTGCACAGGAAGTATAACTTTCTCCCTGCTCACCGCCTGGCTGTTGGGCGCTTACTCCAACGACATGCACATCTCCACGCAGCGTCACTCCGAGGCACCAAACTCAGAAAACTCATCCTGTCTGATGACCTCAAACCTTCCTGAGGCTCCTCCCTCTGTGTCAGACAGCCCCGTGTCCTCGCCGTCACACCGCCGCTGTCACCGGAGACACAACAGCAGCAACGTTGACCCATCCCCGTCTTTCTCCACGACCGGCGCCGTCCCTGAGAGCCCAGAACCCGGGGGCGTGTTTGTGTCCCCATCCAGGAGGACCCACCAGAGATCCAAGTCAGACGCCACCACGGCGAGCAGCGGGCCGGGATCAGGCCTCCGACGGACGGGGAGTAACCCGAAAGTGGAATGTGTCCACGAGGAGGTAAACACTTTCAGTTCATGTATCAGGAAGGTATCCCATCAGGCCTTAGCTGTTAGCTGTTAGCTGTTAGCTGTTTCCTGTTAGCTGTTAGCAGTTAGCTGTTTACTGTTAGCTGTTAACTGTTAACTGTTAACTGTTTCCTGTTAGCAGTTAGCCGTTCCTCATAGCAGTTAGCAGTTAGCAGTTAGCTGTTAGCTGTAGCTTTAACTGTTAACTGTTAACTGTTTCCTGTTAGCAGTAGCCGTTTCCTCATAGCAGTTAGCAGTTAGCTGTTAACTGTTAACTGTTTCCTGTTAGCAGTTAGCCGTTTCCTCATAGCTGTTAGCAGTTAGCTGTTAGCTGTTAGCTGTTTCCTGTTAGCTTAACTGTTAACTGTTTTCCTGTTAGCAGTTAGCCGTTTCCTCATAGCTGTTAGCAGTTAGATGTTAGGTTAGCTGTTTCCTGTTAGCTGTTAACTGTTAACTGTTAACTGTTAACTGTTTCCTGTAGCAGTTAGCCGTTTCCTCATAGCTGTTAGCAGTTAGCTGTTAGCTGTTAACTGTTAACTGTTAACTGTTTCCTGTTAGCAGTTAGCCGTTTCCTCATAGCTGTTAGCAGTTAGCTGTTAACTGTTAACTGTTTCCTGTTAGCAGTTAGCCGTTTCCTCATAGCTGTTAGCAGTTAGATGTTAGCTGTTTCCTGTTAGCAGTTAGCTGTTAACTGTTAACTGTTTCCTGTTAGCAGTTAGCCGTTTCCTCATAGCTGTTAGCAGTTAGCTGTTAGCTGTTAACTGTTAACTGTTTCCTGTTAGCAGTTAGCCGTTTCCTCATAGCTGTTAGCTGTTAGCAGTTAGCTGTTTACTGTTAGCAGTTAGCCGTTTCCTCATAGCTGTTAGATGTTAGCTGTTAGCTGTTCCTGTTAGCTGTTAACTGTTAACTGTTAACTGTTAACTGTTTCCTGTTAGCAGTTAGCCATTTCCTCATAGCTGTTAGCAGTTAGCAGTTAGCTGTTAGCGGTTAGCTGTTTACTGTTAGCTGTTAGCTGTTAGCAGTTAGCTGTTAGCTGTTAACTGTTAACTGTTTCCTGTTAGCAGTTAGCCGTTTCCTCATAGCTGTTAGCAGTTAGATGTTAGCTGTTTCCTGTTAGCTGTTAACTGTTAACTGTTTCCTGTTAGCAGTTAGCCGTTTCCTCATAGCTGTTAGCTGTTAGCAGTTAGCTGTTTACTGTTAGCTGTTAGCCGTTTCCTCATAGCTGTTAGCAGTTAGATGTTAGCTGTTAGCTGTTCCTGTTAACTGTTAACTGTTAACTGTTTCCTGTTAGCAGTTAGCTGTTTACTGTTAGCTGTTAGCCGTTTCCTCATAGCTGTTAGCAGTTAGATGTTAGCTGTTAGCTGTTTCCTGTTAGCTGTTAACTGTTAACTGTTAACTGTAACTGTTAACTGTTTCCTGTTAGCAGTTAGCCGTTTCCTCATAGCTGTTAGCTGTTAGCAGTTAGCTGTTTACTGTTAGCTGTTAGCCGTTTCCTCATAGCTGTTAGCAGTTAGATGTTAGCTGTTAGCTGTTAGCTGTTCCTGTTAACTGTTAACTGTTAACTGTTAACTGTTAACTGTTAACTGTTTCCTGTTAGCAGTTAGCCGTTTCCTCATAGCTGTTAGCTGTTAGCAGTTAGCTGTTTACTGTTAGCTGTTAGCCGTTTCCTCATAGCTGTTAGCAGTTAGATGTTAGCTGTTAGCTGTTAGCTGTTTCCTGTTAACTGTTAACTGTTAACTGTTAACTGTTTCCTGTTAGCAGTTAGCTGTTTACTGTTAGCAGTTAGCCATTTCCTCATAGCTGTTAGCAGTTAGCAGTTAGCTGTTAGCGGTTAGCTGTTTACTGTTAGATGTTAGCTGTTAACTGTTAACTGTTAACTGTTAACTGTTTCCTGTTAGCAGTTAGCCATTTCCTCATAGCTGTTAGCAGTTAGCAGTTAGCTGTTAGCGGTTAGCTGTTTACTGTTAGCTGTTAGCTGTTAGCTGTTAGCAGTTAGCTGTTAGCTGTTAACTGTTAACTGTTTCCTGTTAGCAGTTAGCCGTTTCCTCATAGCTGTTAGCAGTTAGATGTTAGCTGTTTCCTGTTAGCTGTTAACTGTTAACTGTTTCCTGTTAGCAGTTAGCCGTTTCCTCATAGCTGTTAGCAGTTAGATGTTAGCTGTTTCCTGTTAGCTGTTAACTGTTAACTGTTTCCTGTTAGCAGTTAGCCGTTTCCTCATAGCTGTTAGCTGTTAGCAGTTAGCTGTTTACTGTTAGCTGTTAGCTGTTAGCAGTTAGCTGTTTACTGTTAGCTGTTAGCTGTCTCTCTCTGTGTGTTGCAGCCCGACCGTCTGCGTCCTCAGCGTGAGTTCGTGAAGTCTCTCCTCGGCATCGGGAAGCGTTTGGCGACTCTTCCC